TAATACCCATTCTGCATCTGTAAGAACTTGCACTTTGGAACTCCCTGCTTATTGATCTCAGGCAGGTGCTTTTGCTGTACTCTTTTCAGCACCTGCCAAAAACATTTTTGTTTAGGCAAGCCTACCCAAATGTTTGGAAAGTTGATGCAAGTTTTAATCTCTTTTTAGTTCATTGTTATTGTAACTTTTTGAAAGTCTTAAGCTGTTGTTGGCGATTTTCCGTATTGATAACTTTATTGCTTTGTCCATTTTTGTAAACCACTTTGAGGGTTGTTTCTAAAATCAGGTGATGTATAAATAAAATAAAATAAAAATAAATAATCACACACTGCCCCAGAATGATGCTACAGACGATGAGGCAAAGCAGATGAAACAAAATGGTGTCTGGGCTGTCGGCATAGTTGCTTCTGTAACCCGCTGCAGTGGCAGCATAAAAACGAAAAGGAAGCAGGGGAGAGAAAGAAACTGTGGGATTGTCACAGCTAACAGGGAGAAGATGGAGAAAATCAGTGAACTAGTGCACATGTTCTTTCCCTGCTCAAAAATAGCATGAAGAATTTCGAGAAACCGTCCACACACAGTCCTGTTCTCAGCGTATAATGAATCTCATGTGGTGCCTGAGCTTGCAACACTGTAAAGCTAAAAGAAATGTTGGGAGTAGCTGGAGTTGCCATAAACAACTGCAAGATACACACTGAGACATGCATTTTTATTCCAGTAAGAACATGCCTCAGGTAGATGGTGAATTTACAGGTATTGCTAAGCTAGTGCCTGCAGGCAAGAATTTGGGTTCTGTTCATATAATTACCCGATATTCAGCTTAGCCTGCTCCAATATTTAGGTAAGCTTGCTCTGTACATGGCGGGAGGTCTTGCAGCAAGAGGAGCCATTTCCTTATAGTGCAGTTTCTGGCACCTCCCTAATTATTACAACTACTATTACAATTGATTTATTAATTGCCTTCTAAACCACCATCTCAAGGTGATCTGCACAAGATAATTAAAAACACAAAAACGACACATACAGTGCCTTTAAAACAAGACTAAAACCACTGCAAGTGGGCACTTGTGGTAAAGACCCATTTATCCAACTGGGAAAGCCTGCCGTAACAAGAATGTCTTCAACCATTTCCAGAAATTGCAGACAAATCATTAAATTATGAATAATTATAGTTATATTAAACTATTATTAAGTCCCGTAAATGTGCCAAGTTCTCTGGCCGTAAAGGCTGAGTAACAAATAAACTCGCCCATTCCCCCTTTTCTTCCTTTCCTGTCTTCTTTTCATATTTTCTACAATGTATTAGATCATGGGCTTGCAATCTTATTAAACCTGAGGGCCATATGCGTCCACATCCAGCTGATTTACTTGTCAGCTCTGCAAAGAACAACTGCTGTAGCTCTTCAAATCAGAGCTAAGGTCTCAGAAAGAGAAAGGGAAATTTTCCTTTAACAGCCAGTCTTGGGGGAAAGTTTTTGCTGTCCTTGCCTCTTCCTCCCGTCTGTCTGCTGTTTGACCTATTGTTGATTGTAAGCTTCATGGGATATGAACCTCTCCTTTTTTGCTTTTGAAAACACTTTAAAGCAGTAATGGCTTTTCAGTAATGGCTATGTAGTGCTGCTGCTGCTGCTGCTGCTGCTGCTGCTACCGATTAGACTACCACCACCAACAGATTAGAAGCATTTCTAGTCTTGAGTATATATTCCAAAAGTTCAAGAAAATGCCATTTAACTATCTGAGAGAGCCTGAAATGTGCATCTTGCAAGCTTCTTCAGAAGCCAGTCATGCAAATGTGTCTGGGCAGTAAAGATAAAAGGGGTTTGGATACATCTGAAGGGATTTTATGTAGGGTTTATGTACGGAATTCAATGAATATTTGCCACAGTTCCTTTACGGCACCTTGCAATTTCTACTCTGAGGGCCAAATTCCTTGAAGGAATGCTCTGTGCAATTGACTCAGAGAGTCTGAATTACAAAGGTTGGCACTACCAATTAAAATTTATGGCTGTGCTCCAGAATTTAAGAAGCAGAGCTTAGATGGTGTGTGTGTGTGTGTGTGTGTGTGTGTGTGTGTGTTTTACTATATCCTGGCTTGGGAAACAAGGGTGTTTGTGGGTGGGGGTAACCATATGCTTTTCAAAAGGATAATTGGTTTCAGATTTTATGCAAAGAGGAGGATTGTTTATCATTTCCAAAGCACTTATAAGTTATAACCTTTCCATTTCTAAGGAATGAGGATGAAATGTAAAGAACAGATTCAGATCTCAGTTGCAGAGGTGTACAGTAACAACAGAATAATTCAGATCAAAATCTGTTCCAAAGTGCCTCCTGAATCAAAGGAACTTTTAAGTAACTTTTAAAGTGTATGCCTTGGGCTCCAGGAGGTATTTGCTGTATAATTACAAATAAAAGCTAAATTGTTTCTATAGGACCTGTTTTTCTCACTATCACAAGATAGAAATCACTGAATGAACAAGAACCATGGTATCCAATGAGATTTCTCCCAGATGTTGTTGGACTCCAACTCCCAACAGCCCTAGCCAGCATGGCCAGTGGTCAGGGATGATGGAAGTTGTAGTCCAACAACCCCTAGAGAGCATCACATTGGCTCCCTCTCCACTAGAACTTCTGATTTGTTTTCTCATTCAAGGGATGAATCAGAGTTTGAAATGAGATGAAAGGCAGTCAGTAAAGCCTGACAGGTTCAGTGAATCACAGCTCACCTTTTTTGAATCATGGGAATAGCAATCATAAGCATAATAAATGGTTTCTTGATTCCCATGGCTTACACATTATAGAATTCCATGGATCTAAAATAACCATCAAAGGAGCAGGGCCACAATACTTTGGAGTTCCTCACTAATGCAAGCAGACTTTGAGAGCTGGCAAAGCATTGTGCCTGAGATCCTGAGCTGTAAGCCAGTTAAGTTCCCCATTCAGATCTTACCTTTCCCTCAAAGTTGCTTGGTAGTCATAAGCGGGATGTGTCCCATGCCAACACCTGATCTGAAACGTGGTGATAGTAATCCTGATCTACCTTTACATGATTGTTGTAAGGATTATTGAGACAATGTATGTGAAGCGCTTTGAATAACTGAAAGTGCAACCTAATTCCTCAGTATTATCATCATCATTATCATCTCATCATTACCATCCTAAAATGGCAACCTTGAGTCTGCTAATAAGCTTCTGGTAATTTACCCTTATAATCTCCCCTGTGTGATGGTTAGCATACAGAGAAGGTACTACAGCCGGGAATTTATTGAATGAGCCACCCAACTAAACAAGAGCTTCTAGCTCACATCTTCAGTTTGCTTTGCTTGTGCAAGGAGAATCTAACACAAGGTGTGTATTCAAGTAATTTTACAGAGAGGGATCTGAAATACTATAGACCAACACAGTAGGATGTAGTAGTGCAGTGCTAACTCCAAGGTTATGAAAAAACAAAAGCATCATATTTCCTCTATCCCCTGCACCAAATAGCCATTGATTTACTCATCAGCCACACATGGGTATGGCATACACAGATTTCCACAGCAGGGGAGGAACACATCAGAAAATATTTCTTTTATTCCTTTCAATGCACAACTCTCTTCCTGGCAAAGAAAAGTTCCCTATGCCCGCGGTCTACATTGTTACTCATCTTGTACATTGCTTATATGTATTTTCCTTCCTTTTGTAAGTAAGCTGCAGGGTTAGCACCTTCTAGCAACTTTTTCCTGTCCTGAACATGTACATAGCTCCTCATCACTTTTGTTACCTTCCTCTGTTCCCCTATCACACAGAGAGAGGTTACTGTAAATCTGACAAAGGCAGGAACTGCAAACACAACACTCTCAACACAGCCATTCATTTCAAAGACTTGCTGAGTCACGATCAGGTAATTCTTTTCAAGATACCAACTGATCTCTTACCATAACAATTTGCCACCCTGAAATCTGTAGTCTGGTTTTTTGTTGTTGTTTTTTTGTGCAGGCTAGTTGCCACGGTCTTCTAGACCAGTGTTTTTCAACCACTGTTCTGCGGCACACTAGTGTGCCACGAGATGTTGCCTGGTGTGCCGTAGGAAAAATTGAAAAATTCGAAAGATTTTTTTTTAAAAAATGTCAAATTTTTGCCCACTAGGCGGGCGCCGGACTGTGTCCTGGGTATGGGGGGGTTGACCCCACCCTCGGCCAGCAGGGGCGCCGATTGGCGCTCCTCAGGGGGACACCCTCCACTTTTCTGATGTCCGGGCTGTGATTGGTCCAGACTCCAGCCTGGACCTATCACAGTAGGACATCATCTTCCGACTTCCTTCCTGCCCAAGCACAGTGTGCGCAGCAGCGGAGAGAAGAAGACATCGCGACTCGAGTCACCAGGAGGACCGGAGCAGGAGGACACGGACGGAGACCAGGACTCGGCGGGAGTTGGCACTTCAGAGAGACCGCATCCGGATCCAGACCAGGCCACAGGTGCAGCGTGAGGTGAGGAGGTCATCTGGAACCAGTCGGTCATGGTCGGGTCTCGGAAGAGAGACGAGTGAGTCCAGCCCTGTGCAGCAGCAGCAGCAGCCCGGTAAGTTTATATATAGTCAATATAGGCACAGAGTTAAATTTTTTAACATTTTCTAATGGTGGTGTGCCTCGTGATTTTTTTCATGAAACAAGTGTGCCTTTGCCCAAAAAAGGTTGAAAAACACTGTTCTAGACTATGCATCTAGATTCCCACTTTGCATTCAAGCTTTCACTTCACTTTATTTCTCTTGCCTCTGTTCACATCAAAACCCAACAGCCCTCATTAGTGTTAAATTGCATCAATGCCAGTGTAGCCAATCACATCACGTTATCTCCTGAGTCCATTCTACAATTCATATCATATAACTCAACAATGATTATGATGATCTTGATGGTTAAAAATGGCTTGGTTCGTAAATTTTCTCCGTCAGTACAATAAAAGAAATATGAAACTGCAACAGAACCCATATTAAACATTGGAGAGCAAAGGAATGAAACAATCACCTCTTCCTTTCTTGGGACCATTTTGAACACTGTGTGTAATAGGCTTGAAAACATATTTTGATGAAAACATCTAAAACTTGCTTCCAAAACCCAGATAATTCTGGAAGGCAATTATGACTGCACCAAGGTATTCTTTAAAGACCTGAAAAACAAAACAAAGGTAATGGGTTCAGCCTCTTCTAAAGGATGCTTAAGTAGTTAATTCACTGTTCAAAATGAACATTTAGGCTGAATATTCAGCTAGTGATGCAATGCACCATCAAACACACTATAAAATCTAACAGCCCTCTTTTGATTTCAATTTGATGAAAGGATAAAATATGGCTGTATGTTGGGAAGAAGCTTCTCACGAGGCTGGTTGGCAGAAATCTCTGCCTGACATTTCTTCTGTCCTTTCATTGTTTTAGAAAGTCAGTGGTTTATTTATTTATTTATCTATTTAAATAATCATCTGCACCATGCCTCAGAGAAGTTTTATTGCTTTTTCTCCTCAGGGGAGGAAAAAAAATGGTTCTAAGATGTCCTTGGAGACAAGGTCCTCAGTTTGAGTTTTTAAAAGACCCCCTTTTAACTTGGACAAACTATAGAATTGCTAAGTTTCTCAATTCATTACCTGCAAGACATGAGCAATGTCGACTTAAAACATCCATGAGAATTGCAGAATATGTTATGAGATTAGGAGGTGTTGAAAGGCTTGTTCCCTCTGATGACCCAGAAAGCCAGGAGGATCCAGGCAGTAATGAAAGCAGGATGGTAAACCCTTAAGATAAACAGTCTTTTGAATGGGTTCCCATCAATTGCTCAACTACTGTTCTCTCCTCCTGGCTCTAGATATGGGGCTTGGATACTCCAAGTATCTGGACATTTACCACTAGTTCATATGATGCACTAGAGTATGAGGAAGCAACACTGCTCAAAACTATTAAGCAATGGCCCTGTGTTAAGTTGGAACCTCTGGCTTGTGGTCCTTTCCCCCAATTTACAGTGCAGTAGTACAGTGCAAAACTAGAAAAAGCCTTTGGTTTGAGATGAATTGTGCCCAAAGCCACTGTGCTTTCCTCGCCTGTGACTAGCACAAATCAAAGTTGCCCCCTGCATCTCTGAGAGAAACACATTCATGATGTGTCATCTGGAAATAGAGTATCCCTTTGATTCATAATGGTTCAGAACAGCACTTCCAAGTATTTTCCTTTCCCTTGAACATTAAAGCAAGCAACTTTAGTCGGGTCCCCTTAGATTTCGGAACTGAGCCAACGTTTTGTGTTGTCTTTAATATATGGCTATTTTGCCAAGATGGTATCAAAGGAACAGCACTGAGAAAACAGTCTGCCACCCATCATTTTCCACCCCATCCCTCCAGAAGATCCTCTGAACTAAAAGGGCAGCCAGCCTCTCCCTGCTTAAGATAATAGTAGCATTTATCACCCATGGTACATCGGGCATCTTTGCAAACATTAGCCATGGAGTTGATAGCCCAGTAGGGAAACAAGCAATGGATAATTAAAACAAGAGCAAAACTAAGAAAATACATAAAAACAGCTGTAGGCTGACATTCATCTTGGATGCTCCTCCACTGAAATATTTAGGATTTGTGTCGCCTGACACCAGTAGCTTGAGACAGCAGTAGAGATTAGCGTGTGGAGTCCAGTGGGAATTATATGTTATATTTGGCTGTCAGAACTATAGCACATAGAGCAATTCCCATAATGAGTTTGGCTTAATGAAAGGATGGGGAACCTATGGCCTTCCAGTTGCAGTTATAACCCGGACCTTTTTTTCCTGCCAGAACTCACCAGAACGCAGTACAGTGGTACCTTGGTTTACGAACTTAATCCATTCCAGAAGTCCTTGCTTAAACCAAAGCGTTCATAAACCAAGACGTGCTTTGCCATAGCAGTGGGGGACTCAATTTACAAATGGAACACACTCAACAGGAAGTGGAACATGTTCTGCTTCCAAGGCAAAGTTCACAAACCAAAACACCTACTTCTGGCTTTGCAGCGTTCTTAATCCAAGTTGTTCATAAACTAAGCTGTTCTTAAACCAAGATGCCACTGTACTGGCCAGGGGCGATTGAAGGCGTCATGACACTCGGGGCAGCAAACAGCTATGTACAGCACATGCGCTGTACATAGCGGTTTGCCGGTGGCGCTGCTCCAGCGCCGTACGGACGGTGCCAAGATCCTCCGTTCACGGCTGTAGCAGCGACGGAGGGATCCCACCACTGTCTGTATTGCGCTCGAGTGGCAAACCTCTATGTACAGCGCATGTGCAGCATCGTTACATACAGCACATGCGTGTGACGCTGCACATGCACTGTACATAGCAGTCTACTGCCGGCGCTGGGCTCCTCTGCTTGTGGCTGCAGCCACGAATGAAGGATCCTCCACATGTGGCTGCACCGGTGCGATGGCTGCTTGCGCCCCCGCAAGCCCCTGCGGAGTGCTTTCTTGTCACACACCCCCAGACACGGCACCTGGGGTGCACCGCCCCCCTGTTGCAATGCCACTGGTACTGGCACCTGTCAGGTGGGCACCATTGCCATTCTAGGAGAATGCAAGAGGTAAGTTCTAGCACCTCTTTTTCTAGAAAAATGGCACTGGCTACAACTCTGATCGTTCCTGACCTTTGGCCATCTTACCAGGACCTGATGAGAGTTGGCCCTTCATGTTATTGTGAAAGGCCCACCAAGCACAGTTGCCAACTCCAGGGGTCCCTGAGTGCCTGGGCACCCACAAAATTTTCACTGTGGGTGCCTGGCCTCCACTGCTTGCTGCCTTACCTCTGACTCTCTGGTGCGGCCGCAGCAGCTGGGCTGGGGCCTCTGCATTCACCACAAGCCCTCTATTGGGGCCCACTGTGGCTGAGGATGTGCTTCTGGGGTGCATCTGCAACTATGTCAGGCCCCAACAGAGACAGTGGAGGTGGAGACTCTGTCCTGCCACGGCGGCAGAGGGTGGCAGCCGAGCAGTGCGTGCATGACATGACGTCACTGGGCATTCACAGTCTGGGGCCCAAGTGGGCACCTCTGGCCAAAGGTTTCCTATTCCTGGTGTCCTGAAAATTATACTGAGGTTAATGGAGGGACAGGTATAAAATAATACCTTCCCTACATATGTACTGTTTCTCTGCTGTACCCTATTCACTATATATATTTGGAGGCTAGCAACAAATTGATAATGACTCTTTTCCTGGTGGCAAACTTGACAGCTGAATGAGCCTTGGAGTCACAAAATGAAGCAAAGGGGGAAGTCATGGTCTTATGACTGTAATCCTTGAACCACTTTCTTCAGAACTATCACATCAACACAAGACCACTCTACAACAAAGAATCTGATGACTTTGATAATGAATGGTGCAGAATCCTATTGTTAGGTTATGCAAGGAAATAGTGGAAATAGACAAAGGGCATTATTGTGGTAAGATGGGGGAATCTGTGGCTCTTCAGATGCTGATAGACTACAGTGACTACCACTGACCATGATGTTTGGGGGTGATGAGAGTTGATGCAGAACATCACCTGGAGGTTCGGAGTTTCTTTATCCCTGGGAAAGTTCTGGATCAAAATAATGTTGAAATATGGTTTCAAAGGACAAGTCCCCCCCCCCCCACACACACTTTTGCCGTTGAAAAATTGTAATAAGAGCTTTATAAAAGGTCAAATAACTATATCTGTGACTAAGGGAATGAAATGTTACCGAGTATTTGAGTGAATGCCAAAGTATCTGCGCTGCCTTCTGAAAATTAGCAAACCGAAACAGGAAAGTCAGGTCTTACTTCTATAAATGTAAAGTATTTACAGCTCTACCTTTTATACCTCTTTCTCAGCAGTCTAGCTATGAAATAGTCTAGTCATGCAGTAAGAGTTGTAAAATATTGCTTGTTCTTTAGTGTGTGTGTGTGTGTGTGTGTGTGTGTATTTCTTAAGCCAAAAATTAAGTTCTACACATCACCTAAAAATGAAGAAGATCAGCAGTGTGATTTCTAGTACCACCATGGAAAGCTCACATTCTCTAACCTGGAACCTTCCAGCTATTTTTGATTACAACTCTCACCAGCCCAGACCATTGGCCATGTTGGCTGGGAGTGATGCGAGTTGTAGTCCAACACATCTGGAGGACTTCAGATTGGAGAAGGCTGGTCTAGCTACTTAGAAAATTAAGCCTTAAAATGAAAGTGTGGTGAAACCCTTCATGAACAAAAACAGCAAAGAATTTGCAGGACACTGAGCCCAACATTTCTATAACACTTCTCTATCATTTAGGCTGCATTCACATGTCAGCTTATTCTGGTTTTTTTGCCATTTTCCTGTCAATTTTTGCATTATATTTGAGCTTTTGCATGACATATAAGCCTCTTCCAGACATATAGTGGAATATAGCACAAGTTTAGTGCTCATTCCCCTGTTATTTGTAAGCAAAGTATTTCCTAGAAGCAAATGATACAGAAACAGATGCTAAGCTTATGATATATCCCTCCATATTTCTAGAAGGTGGCTATGCTGTTCAAAAGGGCATATACAATGTGGAAATTAACAGTTAGGGACACGTCAGGAAAACAGAATAAACTGCTATTTGAATGCAGCCTTGGACTGTGTAACCAAGTAGATTCTGCTGCCCAACCACCCAGAGCCTACCATTCTGACTAGCAATAACTGACATTGCATTTTTGAGTTTTACTCTTTATCAAGAGCCAGTTCATATGCTACACAGAAAGGAGTCCATGTTTCCCACTGGGAGTACACCCAATGGGGAGGTTCTGTCAAGTCCATCTCTTTGATGAGGACATCTAGTCAAAGCCTTCCAGCCAACTTGTTGGTCACACTCATTCCTGAAGTGTTTAGGTATGCACCTCAAAACCTAATAAACATAACAATGTAAGAAGAGTCCTGCTGGTTCAGACCAAAAGTTCAATTTAGTCCAGCACCCTGTTCCCACAGTGGCAAACCTGATGCCCGTGGGAAGCCCTTAAGCAGTACCTGAGCACATCAGCACTCTTCTCACTCGTGCTCTCCAGCAACTGGCATTCGGTGGAATACTGTCTCAAGTACACAGTATAGGAACTGTTTCATAAGGCCATCATAGGGTGTATCCTGAGAACTGGTCTATCATCAGCTGCATTTGTTACACTCTCAAGACATAG